CACAAGACACACACACACATGCACACACACACACATGTACATCCATCTGCGCGCGTATTCATCGTAAGCAGCATATCCCAAACTCCAGTCTTGCGCACCCTGAGCCCTAGGCATCGGATGTCTGGAGGCGGTTTTTAGATAGTCCTTCGTAAGCCTGGTTTGAGGCTGTCATGCTTCAGGATTTAGTGTTAGGGAGGGGTTTCTTCGGAGGCCGGGCACAACTCAACTCCAAGATGGCCCTAGGATGCTCCTAGTAAGGAACATTGCCGCCGGTTTTGGGGGGGATTTCCTGCTGTAGCACCCGATGTCCACTTAAGCAGCCAAAGGTCATGAATCACTGCCTGACGGCACCGGCCTCCGAGCAGCACATGGATGCTATTCGCAGCATCATGCGACGTGGCGATTTGGTCATCTGAGCTTTGCAGACTCGAGGATCCCGAATTTTTGGGTCCCTCCTTGGAAGTTCGGGTCTGTTCTTAGCTTGCACGGAATCCAAGCTTAAGTCGGGCCAAAGGCATTCTTATTCTTCAACGTTCTTTCAGGCTTCACTTCTCTATCATGCAAGACACGAACCCCATCTGAAGCTGCAGAAGGGAAGCGGGTTCAGCAACGCTGTCACAGATGTTAGGGTTTCAGCCTTGGGTCATGCACATGTATTCTCTCCGTGTGTTTTTTGCACGTAAGCACATACTAGGCATGTGTACACAGTGCTCAAGCAACGTGCTTGCCTACAGGCGCTTCCGGGCCGTACATACACGATCAATAAAGTCATGTAATTAAGATGCAAAGGCAGAGGGAGAGAGAGAGAGAGAGAGAGAGTGTGTGTGTGTGTATTGAGTGCACAACTGAATGATATGTTTGCTCTCGCTCTCTCTATCTATCTCTCTCTCTCTCTCTCTCTCTCTCTCTCTCTCCCCCCTCTCTCTCTATACATATACCGAGCCATGAACCTGTATAGTATCTGTATATGTATATGTACGTGCATGGCATGCATGCATATACGTGCGTACGTGCGTACGTACGTACGTACGTACGTATAAACCTAGATACAGTAAAGAACCCAGAATATACAAGAAAGAATTCAGGTATGCATGTATGTATGTATGTATGTATGCATGTATGTGTGTACGCATGCATGCATGCATGGATGCATGCAATCATGCATGCATGTAGGTGCGTATGTATGTATGTCGGTATGTACTTTGTATGTGAGCGCTTGCATGCCTTTGCACGCATGCGGGTGTGCATGTGCATATGAGACAGCATGGGTCTCTGTGACATAGCAAATTTCGCATGACGTTCGGAGTCTGGCAGAAGCTGCGCATATTTGCGACCACAGTGAGTGATATACCGCAACATGCAGGCTGAAGAATGCACATGCCATGGCCCCGATTTCGGCCCAGCTGTTGGCCCTTGCATTGCATTTGAAGAATTGGCTGGGATCAAGTTCCCGGCTGGGCCTCGCATCTGTCGGGTTTGGGGCACTTGTGGAGTGCAGGACTCAAGGCATTGGACTTAGTGTTACGAGTTTAGAGTGTGTGGTCTAAGGTTGACGCTTTGCGGGAAGGTGCGTCGAGGGTAGACAAAAACCGGGAGGAACAGGGTCAGGGGAGAGAGAGAGGGTGAGACGGTGCGAGCAGGCGAGCAGGTTCCGACGTTGATGACTGTCTTGCTGCAGGGCCGGAGCATAAGTTGCATCATCCGATGGAAGGGTTTCGGCAGCTGCTCGGTACAAGGCTGAGCAGCCTCACAGAATAATACATCTTAAAGATTTGAAGTGGGGCCTTTTGTCCCCTATCTCTAAGCCAACTGCGAAGCCCGTGCACGACCCGGTGCACGACTGACGAGGTCATAAGCTCCCGTCAGAAAGGGCATTGCTGGGGCATGTTTGCTACGTGTGCCGACATTGGGCAGCTTTCAGAACATCATGGAACACCACACCTGGTGCAGGCGTTTGGCTTCCAGGGAACTCGCGAACCCATTGCATCCTCAGCCTCAAACCCTCGAAGCATCGGGCGCTGGCTTGTTGTCCGCTTGCGCGAGCACGTCGTCTCCGAAAAAACGCAAGCATGGATCTCCCGACAGTGCATTCCCAAACCATGAACCTGTTGAGGCCTTGAGAAATCCCAAGCCGCGAGCTCCAAGCACCCGGCAAAAGCCGAATGCTGCATGTTTGGCGGATTTCGGGGGATGAGCTGGCCGTTTTTCCGCCGGAGCAGTTGAGCTCCGTGCGCGCGCTGAAGCGACGCTTGGAGCCGCTCTGTGGGCTGCCGCGCTTCAGGTGGGTCAACGTACATGTCTTTAGGGCCAGTGACGGTTTGGATCCAGCATGCAGGATCTCCCTTTGTCCCATTTTTCGCGTCTCGCAGTCTTTGAAGCCTGTCATGCTTTACGCTGTGTGCACTTGATCTGCCCGTCCAATGGAGTGGCTTGGGCCTGTGCAGCACTTTTCCGGGCTGTGGGCGGGGATTAAGGGCAGTACAGTGCAAGTCTTCCGCTTCAGTTGCCAATGAAAAGGGCCTTCAGAGTTTCCCACTTTAGGATGTAGGGTTCAAGGCTCTTGTGGAGCGGGGTGCCAAAGCTTCCAGGCAGCGGCTGCATCAGAATGGCTCCGACCTCGAGGACGACGCAGATCCTTGGGCCTGTTAAGCGTGTGGTCTCTCGGTGGTGGGGCAAACTCTCTGTGTGTTTTTGGGGAATGCCCAGTAGACCAAGTCAACAAGTTCGGCCGACATTATCAAAGAGCAGCATTGCAGCAGATTGTAGCGCAAGAAAGTATAATAGTAAATTATAGTAGTTCACAGTATATTATAGTATAGTATATGACAGCATATGACAAAATATGACAGTACATCACAGTATGTCATAGTATATTACAGTTTATGATCGTACTTTCATAAGATGTTATGGTATATCATGGCTGATTACATACTACACACCGTCAATAACATTCAGACAGACACTCGTCCAAAGGCCGTGGTGGGTGCGTTGGTAACGAGCTTGATTCACGACATGCAACACACCCCCCCTTTTCAACGCAACCAGGAGCCAGACCGCTATCATTCTCTTTGTTTGGCCCGTTGAGAATGTAGTAAATGACTGAACAGAAATGGAACGAACCAGTGGTAGGAGAAGCCTTACACTGAAGTCCCCTGAATTCCAAACCAGCAGCACCTTGTCGAAACACCACTCGAGACTCTGCAAACCCAACACCTGCAACCTGAAACTTGGCAATCTTCGACCCTGAGAGGCAAAATTTTACAGCCTTAAGCCCTAAACACTGCAGCCAGCCTCGCCTGGCTTGTGCGCGGGTGAGCGCCGAAACACTGCAGGTGACCTAAGCCCTCTGAGCCCTAAACTAACGAAGACCGTGGTCTGTGCGAAAGCTGCTACCGCAAACTCCTGGCCTAGAGGCCTTCGCAGGCTGCTGAGTCTGAGTAAAGGATGCAGTCGCCAAAACACAAACAAAAGCACCGAAGAAGACCCGAAGCCCTTCTTTGCCAAGCCCAAGGAGCTGTCCGCCCCGAGCCACCTGCAGTTGGTTTTGCTGCCCTTCGCCGGCACTTCCCAGGAGCAGGTCCCGCAGTTTAAGGTCAGACCCCAAGCCCCATACGCCCTAAACCCTAAAATTCCTAAAACCCTTAACCCGGAAACCCGGAAACCCGGAAACCCTAAACTCTAAGCATCTCTAAACCCGGGGTTCAGAGTCTGGGATGTGCAGGGATGTGTAGAGTTTGGGATTTGGTGGTTCGTGCTAAGGGTTTCAGGGTACTTGGGGTGAGACCCCTCAAGTTAGGCCAGGGACATCTGAAGCGAAGAGCCGTAAGAAAAGGCCCCTGCATGAGGTGAAGGAGCTCAGGGCCGCTTCTGCCAGCGGCTCTGGCTTAAAGGTCGAAGGCATACTGCAGCGGCCACAAGATCCGAACTTGGTGGACGAGGGCGGAGATGCTTCCAGCCCTCTCTTCGCAGCTTCCCAGAGGGGTCACCTGGAAGTGGTCCAAAAGCTCCTGGAGGCCAAGGCGGACTTGCGTCGCAGGGAGGACTCGGACACGCCCCTCCATGCGGCCTCCGCCGACGGCCACCTGGAGGTGGTCAGCGCACTCCTTGAGGCCAGGGCCGAAAGCAAGAGCAATCCGTTGCGCCTGACGCCGCTCCACTTGGCCTCGGCCAGCGGCCACGTGGAGGTGGCACGTCTTCTCCTGCAGCGAATGGCTAGGGAAGGGGGAAGAGACCCCAAACAGCACCTCCAGGGCCTCCTGCCCCTTCTTCCCATGGCTTCGGCCTACGGCCACACGGCCATCATCCGCTTGCTTTTGGAGGCAAAGGTCGACAAGGATCTCAGTGACCCGCTCGGGCTGACACCCCTCTGCGCCGCAGCGCAGTTCGGCCACGTCGACGCTGTGCGTGCCTTGCTGGAGGCCGGCGCGGATCGAGACCACGGCTCCCACCGAGGCCTGACCCCTCTGCAGGTGGCATCTGCCCAAGGCCATGTTGCCATAGTGAAGCTCCTCCTACAGGCCCGTGCTTGCAGCGAGAAGAGGGATAGCCGGGGGCTCACGGCCCTATGGGTGGCATCTCAGAAAGGCCATGGGGACGTGGTGCGAATGCTCCTGGATGCCGGTGCGACGGACCAGGCGAACAATCTTGGTCAGTCCGACTCTTGGCGTTTGCTGAACACGCTTTCTTCCGCCTTTTGGGCCTATGGTCCCCACCTGTAGGACTCTAAGCCATGTTCGAGTTTTTACGAAGAGCTCAGGCTTTGTCAGTGGCCTCTCAGGAAGGTCACGCCGAGATCGCGCGGTGCTTGGCCACAGGGCTCCGTCCGGCTCCGGAGGCGACGCTGCTGAGCCGAAGCCCACAGTAGTGTTCATTAGGGTTTAGGTTTAGGGTCATGTAGGGCCTTGTAGATACATGCGCTGAACTGACGAAAAGGCTGAGCAGAAACATGGAAAGCCCGGCGCTAACCCAGGGCATTATGCAATGTGGCTCTGCGTGAGCTACTTCTGCTTCGACTTTACTTGGTCTACTTCTACTTCTCCTTCTACTTTGTAGTGCTACTACTGGAGCTACTCCAACCACTACTACGATGGACGGACGGCTAGCACTACGACCGTCGCAGATGTCGGAGCCCTCCGTGGCTGTCGGCTCAAGTATCTTTCGGCGCTCTGCCGGCTCTCCAGCCCTTGAGGAAGCCATGAGCAGCGAGGCGTCGGGATGGGACTTCGAGACTTTGAGGCTTCTGGGGTTTACATGGGGCTTTGGTGCGTTGTAAATAGACCGAAGTTGAGGACCCCATTATTTGATAGCAGGTCATATTAAGCTTCAAAGTTCAGGGTGTGTAGGGCCTAGGGTTCATTGCGGGGTGCAAGCTGTGTGGGACGTAGAGGGTTCATAGGTCTTCAGAGCCCGGGTTGCACGGCTTTAGGATGCTGGGGTTGGAGATGACGATCTGAGGCTTAGTAGAGCTTTGTGTGGGTTGTGCTGTTTTCCGCGGGTTTTTCACGTGTCTAGAATCGAAGCGCTTGCAGGGTTGCATGCCTTTTGCGCGTAAGCAAGGACCTCCAGGGGTCTTCCGAACGGTTGGAGGTTTGGGGTTTTCAGGCTGAAGGGGTTGGGAGCTTTCCTCTTCTCAACTTGGGATTTTCCCGGTGCTTCTGTGGAGCCGGGCAGTGTTTGCGGGGCTCCGTCTTCACCCAGATCCCCAAGCTTTCTGGTTTCGGATTGGCTGAAGATTTGAAAGAGGCTTGGCTCAGCACATGCTCCCAAAATGCCCACAAATAGACACTCCAGTATTGGTTGAATGCCTCGAGCCTCGGGGCGTAGAAACCTTACACCCTGGGTCCCAACCGGCAAAGCCTGATAAACCCTTCGGATCCCTAAGCCCTAAGTTGGGAAAACCTTAAATCCCAAACCCCAAACCCTGCACCCCTGACCCTATACCCTCAATAGAACGGGCGCCCTCACAACTTACAAACAAAGAAGCTTTGGACATCTAAAGGGGACCCTAACATAGTACCCTAACTAGTCCCGAAATAAGGTACCCTAACTCTAAGCTAATCGCCTCCAGGGCCCTCGTCCAGAGGCGCTGCGATGCCCGACTGTAGGGTTTGGGAGGGGAGGCCTTGCTGTCTGTACCACATCCTGGTACTAGTTAGTCTGAATGCTACAACGGCTTCATGTTATTGTGCAACCTTCTTGGTGTTATCACGGCTTTGTTACACAATGCGCGCGAATGTTCTAGTATGCTTGCACTTGCTCTGCTGACCAACCCTGATTCACTGATGCTTGGGGACGGTCAGGGTTCCGTGGTTCTTTTACGGCTGTTTTGTAAGAGTGGCTATCAGTAGTTTCGCTTTGTTATTGTTCCTTGTTGTAGACTTAAAGTTTCACTTAGCATGTCCCGGAGCAAAGGTGCTAGTTGAAGATCGCCGCTACTTACCGAAGATCGCAGTTGTGTCGGTTTTCTACCTGCTTAGAACGTATGGGTCTCTTCGAGCCCGGTGGAACCTCAAGTGCGGGGGGTGGTTCAGGGTTTAGGGTTCAAGGTCCTTCCGGGGTGTCCGCTTAGATAATAGTCTGATGTTTGATGGAAGCCGGACCGGAATCGGTACCACAACCTGAAGACTGAAGAGATATCTTGGCGCAGTTGCACTAACATCGTGCCTTAAATTGGCTCGATGACGATCTTCACAGGTGGCGCCGGAGGAGACATCGCCAGATGTCGCGGAGAGATATATCATGATGGACAGACTCGGCCACTCGGCCGCAGCATACGAAAGCTTCAAGTGGCAAACGTGTTCGTCCGTTTGTTTGCATCTGAGACGTTCAATACTAACAGTTGACTGCAGTACCCTGGTGTGGTGCGGGGTTGAGGGTGGGGGTCTCACCTAAGTACTGTAGCCTTTCTTGGAACATCCAGACTCAGCCCTCAACCCTAAACCCTCTTGCCTGCCTGGTGCGAGTGTGAGAGTCGAAACCCTCCACCCGTAGCATGTCGGAACCAGGCCCAGATCCGCAGGCCTCGTGGTCCCCAACCCGAAGCCCGACACCCCGACCACTGCACTCTTAGAGCCTAGGACCTTAGCCAGAGAGCTCAGGAAGCCGACGGCCCGAACCCCCAAGCCTAGGAGGGATTCGATGTAAAGATCGCGGAGGGGGTCTTGGAGTAGGGTTTAGGGTTTAGGGCTGAGATGGCCGAAACTGAACCCAAGCCCTGCGCCCGAAGACCTGGGCCATCAATTCAGGAGAGGGAACCTACGGCACTGTCTACCGCGCCGAGACCCGGGCACCCCCACACCAGGCGCCGGAGAGTCTGGAGCTTTTTATGTAGGGGACACTAAGAGTGAGAATAGGGTTTAGGATTTAGGGTTTAGGGTTTAGCATAGGGTTTAGAATAGGGTTTGTTCAAAGGGTCCCTTTTAAAAGGCCTTTGAAAGGGCTACTGCAAGGGTTGTTACAGGGTTGTAGAGAAGGGACCAAAATAGTTGGAGTAGGGTTTGCGGGTATATTACCTGTTTATGATAGGGGTCACAAGGAGATTCTATTTACTGCTGATTTTTCCGACTCTTACATTGGCCTTACATGTTAAACTGGGCCGATCGTGGGTTTTCAGGTTTTAAGAGCATTTTGGGTTAAGTGTCTGGTTTAAGTGTCTGGTTTCTGTATGTTGCTTTCAGCATACTGTAAGATCGTTTTAGATTGCGGGCCTATTCATCCAGTTGGGTCCTATGCATAAACAATCAACATTTCCAGGACTCTTCAGATTACAAGTGTTGTCAGTTTGGTGAATCGGATCTTGAATGTTACTAGTCTGAATACTCATATGAGTATGCGGTGAGCATGAGCAGTAACATCAGCTTTTGGTGTCACTACTGTTGTGTGTATTTCCAGCATTATTGGCACTCTTAGTGTTGTTGGTCTTATCCAACGCATTGATTAAAGCTATGGTTGTCAAGTCTTATTTCCTGAGTATTACTACTATTTGTATTAAGCGTACTGTTGTTGCTGTTCGTATTAGTACTACTGCTTTAATGCTAACGGTTATGAAAAACTGCGAGCCGATGGTTTTGTTGATGCGACTGATATTCTACTATGACAAGTACGGTGTTCATTTCATCAACATGACTGTCATGCTTGTTATGATTATAATGAGACTGGTATGACGATGCACAGGTACCGAGCCTAAGCCCGAGCGCCTTGAACCGTACACCTCTCAGCCCTGTGAGGAGGTTGCCATCAAGCGCATCCGCGTGCTGCACGAGGCTTGATACACCCTGCCGGAGCTCCAACAGCTCCGCACCCTGAACCCCTTGCTTTAAAGAGCCACTATACGACGGGGAGGAACTCGAATAAAGCCTTCATGAAGCGCTTGCGCACAATTTGTACTAAACCTTAAGCCCTAAGCCCTAAGCCTAAACCTTTGCTGGACAACTTGCTCTCTAGAGCTCTCTTTGCAGTTGGAAAAAGACGCACGCAAAAACTAAACCTTCAACCCTCAACAAGCGTTGAACCTGCTGTCGACCGTTCTCCAGCATAGGTCTTTCCTTCAACAGACTACCCACCAAAAACCTTTCCTGGCGTGTCTGAGAGTGAGCGCAGAAACTCTGAAACCTAAACCTGTCCCAGTTGTGAGTGCTGAAACCGTAACACCCTGTCTCGTGTGTGTGGACCTTGGATGTGTGCATCCTTACCTGCTTGGTCTGCTTTCTTGTTTTTGTGCGAGAGCAAAGCTCCCTAAACCCTACACCCTAAACCCTCGTCCTTGCTAAGTGGGAGGGAAAAAAAACCCTCGTGCGAGAGTGAGTGCTGAAACCCTAAACCCTAGCTCCGCCCCCATGAGGATGGTGTCCCGGCCGTGGCTCTCCGAGAGATCGCCTTGCTCAAGGCCCGGGGAGTGAAAGCTTCTCCAGCGGTGAGCTTAGGGTTTAGGGCCGTTTTAGGGTTTAGGGTTTTAGGGTTTAGGGCTTAGGGTTTAGGGTTTTGTGTCGGGTCTTTGTCTGGATCTTACGGGGTTTTTGGGACTGGACTCAAGAATCCAACGCCGGCATCTCCTGAGAACTTGACGCCTCACAGTCCATCCCTTGCTTTCGATTCGATGGCCCGGCAGACTCTGAATCACGAAAATGTGATCAAGCTCCTGGACGTGCGGCTTGTACTGCATTCCGCTGGGTCTTGGGAACCCTCAAACCCTAAACCCTAAACCCATGTTTTCAAGACCCTGGCCACTCCCTGCAGGCTGTGTTTTTGGTTGCTGCGGGGACATCTGTTTTTTTGGCTCTGGTTCTATGGATACTATTCAGTTTTTCAGCTTTTTCTGCTACATAGCTGCAGAGCCACATCCTTACTCACCCAAAACAAATCCTGGTTCGAGACATTCTAGATAGGTCTTGATGTCAAGGGATGTTTAACGGTTAATGGATACACTACCCATTACCCTAAATCCCAACACGTCCTTTAACGGGAGGTTTCTGGATGATTTCCCAAACGTTTTCAATCGTGAAGCCCAGAGACTAGAGCATGTGACCTCACTGTATCAAGGCTCCCAGGTTCGCACCGCTTGAGGGGACAAACGTAGAAGCAGGGGCTGTGTAGCAGGGGGATACTGTTTTGGGTTGAACTGGGAAAAACCAACAGTTTTTGTTAGCCACATGAGTCAGAGAAAGAGATCGAGAGAAAGAAGAGATAGAGATAGCAAGGGGTGGAGAGATGGGGAGAAAGAGAGAGAGTTCCAGCGTGTCGCGTCTGCACTCAGGTGCAACAGCTGGTCGAGCATTTACTTGGTCTTCGAGTGCCTGGAGCCAGCCAGGGTTCAGCACGGCACATGGAGACCTTCTTCTTCTTCTTCGTCTTGGGAGCTTTGGGTTT